GCTGCAAGACCCGGGCGAGGGGCCTTCAACGGTGATGAAGAAGAAGGTGAAGATGATGATTATGATGATGATGATGATGGCAGTGAGGATGTTGACGTATGTTGATGGCGATCTAATCTAGAATCTAGTCATGGTCATCACCACCACTGTGGTGGTGATGATGAAGACAAGCTGGCAATGTGCGAAACCTTGCAAGCAACCCGCAAGCCCCAAACCCTTAAACTCCAAGCCCTAAACCTTGACCCCCACAACCCCGAGACCCCAAGCCCGAAACCCTAAACCATAAAACACTAAAGCTGCAAATCACGTTCCCTTCATCTTTTTTGACGCGGGCGAGTTTTTGCAGATCTTTGAACATCAACAGGGCTGAGGGTCGTTGAAGGCCCCATAAGGGATCCCCTTTGAGGGTTCTGTCAAGGATGCGGTTTAAGGGAGTAAGGGTTTAGGGGTTGAGAGGATTGGGGCCCCGCACCCTCAACAGTTAAGGGCCTGGTGATCATAAGAGTTCAGTGGCATTTTGGCATTGCTGATCCGCCAGAATATGATGCTTGCTTAAGGACTCGACATAAGTAACAACTCCGATTTCACCATCAGCTGCTTTCACAGGATGCCTTTCTGCCGCCCCCGCCCGGCCCGGTTAGTCTTGCAGCCTCAGCTTCTCCCTCCGCTTTACAATTCTTCCACACACACACACTGCAGACTGGTTTAGAGTTGATCAGAGAACTGATATGGGGCTCACGCACTACGGAGAGTCAACTGATCATTCCGCACGACAAGCCAGGCCTACGTCGACGTAAAGCCTCGTCAATGCCAGGTGGAGGATTCTATACTGGACTTAGACCCCTAGCGAAAATTAGAAGTTTAGCTGCTCCTTAGGGGTTATAGCAACCAAAGATTTTAAGAAAACAAAAAGCATTTCTAAGTTCCCCTAAGGATGTAGGATCCTGAAGTTCAGCCCCTCCAGCCATGACCCCAGGCCGACCTTCCCCCTGAGCCCCAAGCCCTGAGAGCCTCACCAAGGCCTGAGAAAAGTAATCCTGAGAGGCTGTTAGACCCCTACAAGCCCTTCATATCAAAAACCCTAAACCCAAACCGGAAAGCTTGAACTCATCGAGAACTCATACCAAAAAACCCTAACCCTAAAGCCTGAACTCATCGAGAAAAACAGGCCTCGCCCAAGGGTGTCAGGGGGAGCACCCGAAGCCTGGGCTGCGGAGAGAACTCTGCATGCTAAGGGGCCTCGAGTTAGTATCAATCATTAGAATCGGCTGTTGGGGTACAGTGTTGTAGGGAGTAGGGTTCAGGTTTTCATTCGGTTCTGTAGGGGGAGGGTTTAAGGGTGTGGGGTGTTGGGGTCTGGGGTCCAGGAATTTGGTTCTGAACTAGAGGCCCCTCTAAACCATGCTAGAACCCTTAAAGGAAACCTAAACTCTTATCCCCCCCTGTTATATAGAATCCTCACAGGAACCCTAAACCCTAAACCCTTGCATGGGCCCTAAACCGTAAACCCTGAACCCTTAAATGAGCCCTAAACCCGAAACCCTACACCCTTAAATGGGCCCTAAACCTTATACCCTAAACCCTAAACCCTCATATAAACGGGCCCTAAACCTTAAAGAGCCCCAAACCTTAAAGAGCCCTAAACTCTAAACCCTTAAATGGGCCCTAAACCTTAAATCACGAGGCTCGAACTTCAGCGCCGGCCCCGAAACTGAAAAGCCCTGAACCTAAAGTCCCAAAACCCTCCACTTGGAGGTAAGGGTTCCTTTAAGGGTCCCTTAAAGGGATCTATAGGGATTCTATGAGGGTATAGGGTCTACTTGGAGGTTCACGGGTAGTTATAAGTGGGATTAGAAGTAGGGTGAGTAGAGTTATAACCCAGATTCAGGGACTTATAACCCCACTTATAACTACCACGAACCTCCAAGCACCAAAACACCAAAAGCTCTTCATGGTGCATGTTGGGATGTGGGAGTTTTTGAAAATAGGGGACCGTAACATGATACCTGAAATAATCGGATCCTTATTGTAAGGACCCCTCAAAATAAGATACCCCTAATTTTCGGAAACTCCCATGTAGTGTACCGGGAAGTCGGAAGACACTGAGTTTGGGGTTTAACGGTTTAGGGTTAAAGGTTTAGGGTTTAGGGGTTTAGGGTTTAAGGTTTAGGGGTTTAGGGTTTAGGGTTTGTTCTTGCGACTCGACTGATAGGGGTTGAGGCTTGAAGGTTCAGGGGGTTCAAAATGTTGGGTGTATTTCGCTCCGAGGTCCTGTGCTGACTTCCGATCCCTCATGACTACAGTAGAAGCCGAAAAAGTTGGAACATCATGATCCTCATGCCCTCAAGGTAAAGTAGAGGGGATCCCAGCACCAATCGTCCTAGATCCATGTTCCATATATCTGCGACTCACTCTAAACCAGACCTAAACCTCAACCCTAAACCCGAAACCCCAAAACCCTAAACACTACAAAGTCCCCGGCCCTGGCCTCTGACTCTCTCTCTCTGGGCTCTGTCCTTTGGAGGATTTTTTCGAGAGATAAGCGGAGGGTTGTTTAGGGGTTCCTCAGGAATTTGCAAGGGTCTTTAAAGGGTATTATAGGTTTCGGTAGGCATCCGAAGGAGTCCCGGCAAATGCCATGCAAGGTTCAAACTTGATTCAGGGTGCAGCGTTTAGGAGAGGGTCCTATGGGGTTATAGGGTTTCTGGTATAGATGTCCTTGCAAGGCAGGCTTTGGGGTGGCCAGGCTCGGCCGCCGAGTTTCAAATCCTAAGCCCAAAACCCAAAACTTTTTTGGGCAGATCCGAGCATCTGCAAGCCTCCTGCAAGGCTTCAGTCGGATGCCAAGGCCACTTTGGGCCGCAAGTTCGAGGCACCTGTTCCTTAATATAGGGTGCCTTACTAGTTGGACTAGGTTGCCTTGGGGCTTCTGTAAGGGTTCGGTATTAAGGGTCCTGTTACTAAGTGGAACAGGTTTCGAGTGTATGTTAGACTATAGCCCGACTCATCTAGGATCTGAAATAGCCGGAGCCTCCTGTATTCAAAACGCAACTGGCCTGGTTAGGGATCCAGGGCAGGACCCGGGTTTAGACACTGGCTATATGAGCTGTTGCCATGCATACGTCCTTAGATAGATGCAGCTATGTCATGACACAACCAGATACCCGTACAGAGCCTACCTACAGTCTGCGTTGTAGATGTTATTTTGGTGTAACCACCCTTAGATTTGGGATCCTATAAAGGTAACGCCCCAAAAGGAACTGCAATGGAGACCACAAACAAACCCCAAACACTCCAAGCTGGGCTCTTGCCAAGGGATTTGATACAAGCTACCATGATAAGGAAACTATATTATTCACTATAGATCCTCGTTATGGTAATTTAACTTGAATAAGGTACCATAATAAGGAAACTATATTATTCACTATAGATCCTCGTTATGGTAACTTAACTTGAAAAAGGTACCATAATAAGGAAACCATATTTTTCGCCATCGATCCTCGTTATGGTAACTTACCTTGAATAAGGTACCACAATATGGAAACTATATTATTCACTACAGATCCTCGTTAATGGTAACTTAACTTGAATAAGGTACCATAATATGGAAGCTATATTATTCAATATAGACCCTCGTTATGGTAACTTAACTTGAATAAGGTACCATAACCAGGAAACTATATTATTCACTATAGATCCTCGTTATGGTAACTTAACTTGAAAAAGGTACCATAATAAGGAAACTATATTATTCACCATAGATCCTCGTTATGGTAACTTAACTGGAACAAGGTACCATAATAAGGAAACTATATTATTCACTATAGATCCTCGTTTATGGTAACTTAACTTGAATAAGGTACCATAATAAGGAAACTATATTATTCAATATAGACCCTCGTTATGGTAACTTAACTTGAATAAGGTACCATAATAAGGAAACTTTATTATTCACTATAGATCCTCGTTATGGTAACTTAACTTGAATAAGGTACCATAATAAGGAACCGATATCATTCACTATAGATCCTCGTGTATGGTAACTTAACTTGAATAAGGTACCATAATAAGGAAACCATATTATTCGCCATCGATCCTCGTTATGGTAACTTAACTTGAATAAGGTACCATAATCAGGAAGCTATTTTATTCACTATAGATCCTCGTTAATGGTAACTTAACTTGAATAAGGTACCACAATAAGGAAACTATATTATTCACTATAGATCCTCGTTATGGTAACTTAACTTGAAGAAGGTACCATAATAAGGAAACCACATTATTCACTATAGATCCTCGTTATGGTAACTTAACTTGAATAAGGTACCATAATAAGGAAACTATATTATTCACTATAGATCCTCGTTTATGGTAACTTAACTTGAATAAGGTACCATAACAAGGAAACTATATTATTCACTATAGATCCTCGTTTATGGTAACTTAACTTGAATTAAGCTCCTTAACAAGAAAGCCAGGATCTCTGGCTCAGGCTTGTCAGACGGCGGCAGGACCTTCGGGCGTCTTACTCTCAGGGTTTAGGCCCTCTAGGGTTTAGGGTTTAGGGTTGAGGGCCCTTTAGGGTTTAGGCTCCAGGGTTTGTAAAGGGGGGTTGGTCAATAGCTGTTCTATTTTGGATGGACCCTAGTTCTCACGGCCAGTATATTGAATGCATTGAACTGCCATGAAGTGGTTTACTGTACGTCATTATTAAGGATATAAGGAGACCCACAAACGAAAATAAGTTTCAAAGGTGTGTTCACTGTCCTCTTATACAGTTTGTGAACATGTGATTGTTCATGACATCAGAATGCCATGCAGATGGCTAATTCATGCTAGACAGGTCCAGATCCAGTCGCTGCAACTAGCGCTTAGGGCTTGAGGCCTAGGCAGCTCAACCGAAAACAGAGGAACACCAAGCTGCACCCCAAAACCCTAAACCCTATACCCTGAACCCTAAACTCTATACCCTAAACCCGAAACCCCCAAACCCACGGACC